GCTACAGGGTATTTTTGAAAATTTTGCACTTTGGGAAACCTCCCGTATCTCTCTTATTGTGAAAGGTTTGGTTTGGTTTGGTGAAACTGTAGAAGGTGAAAACTGTTGAGAAAATGATTTGGCTTGCAACCTCAAAAATATATATCACCCTATATTTATTTTTAATATTTATTGCAATATTTAAAAATTTTCATTAAAAGATAATTTTTATTAGTAGGCCATCGTTGATTATAAAAGAAACTAAAGAATTATTAAAATATAATGCTCTCTGTCTTTTGTTTTATTTTGGGAGCCACTAATAAATTCCTTATATATCAGAGAAACTTAACTCTCTCCGCTATTTGTAAATTTGAAAGCTCCCCGGAACTTTTAGTTTTTCCTTTAACTAATTTACGTGAAATACTTTCAGTTGTGGGGGAGAGCTCTATTGCTCCCCCTCACAACATCAAATATTAGAATTTGTTAAATGCCTACTTCCCAAATCAATGAATTGGGACAAATGAACCTATACGATGGCCTCCTTAATCCCCGGATTTGTCCGTTCTCGATGTCTGTATTTAGGGATTTTTGAAATATGAAATATATCGTGGCAACTACAACAATATCAAAGACCTGGAAAATGCTATCAGGCAAGCTTTTAGATATTTGCAAACCTATCCAGTTATAATAAATCCCGTTATAAAAAAAGAAGAAAAATATACTCAGGTATTCAGTGGTAACTGTTATGTTAAAAATGTAACGTTTTAAACTGTAACGTTTAAAATTAAAATATTTCAGTACCGAACGAAATTTTTTAAATATTGCTGTAGATTGTGAAAATAAATATAGAGTAATATTTTTTATTTTTGAAAAGCTCATAGCAAGACGGATCATATGATTTATAAATATATACAGTGTTCCATTTAAAAATACATAACTTTAGTTCATATTTTTAAAAATATATTTTTAGTAAAATAACAGACTGCACCACTGTATTCTACATAAATATTTCTACAAGAATCGGTTTTCACTTTCTCGATACTTTTCACAATAACGGAGATACGGGGGCTGACCCAAATTGCAAAATATTCGAAAAGACCCTGTAGCTCAGAAACGAAGAGGGCTACGAAAATTTTGTTTACAGCATCCTCCGTTTGACAAAAAAGTGGAACCGGTTTGTGCAAACCGCATCCATCTTTACTAATAATGGAGATACCGCATGATTTCAACCAAAATGGGACAACTTGCACTTTTTTTATGTAAAACATTTTTTGTCGATTTTTTTCTTATTTTCCTCCCCGTTCAATCTCAATTTTCTTCGATTTCGAAAGAGAGCAATTCTTGCTGAGACTTTTCCACACTTTATCCTTGTCGAGAAAAGTCAAATCTTTAATCTTTCCACATTGTTTGTACTTTACATACTGAGACTCATTTGTTTTTATGCAAATGGCCTCGCTTAGCACGGAATATGTGATTAACTTCCGAATAAATTCTCCGGCTAAGCTTCTGTGCGGGGCATGAGTGGCACGAAGTCATTACGTTTTGTTAGTATAACAAAATGGCGTGTATAAGTGCATTAAATTGCTTTTAAACCTAATTTAACATAACTAGATTTATAATTGCCTCGGAGCAATTTCAAAAACCCTTTTGTATGTAAAATAGGGTGCAGCGTTTGTACGGACGTCGTGAGTGTCTAGTTCTATTACTTAAATTTGAAACGGTTTTCTAGGAATGCGGCTGTAATTTTTGCAATGAATATACATTATATTAATATTAAATTATTAACTATAAGTTATTTTTATTTTATTGAGTTTGAAAAAATATATATTATTTTTTTCAATAAGTTATATTATGTTAAGAGGAATGTAATGTTCTTATCTGGATATAAGTGGATTTTAATAAATTTTGTTATCATGACCCTCATCAAATTCAGTTTCTTTGTAACATTGATTTACTTTGACACCTCGCCTCGGTTGCATTAAATTGCTATATTTAACCAAAACTTAAAAAAATATTCAGCATATTTTAAATTACACTGGAAGCTTGAATATTATTAATTTTTAGAAAGCTCTACCGGCATCACAAATTTGAAATAGTAAGGTACATACATACAGGGTGTTTTAAAAAACATGTGACATCTCTCGTGGGGAGATTCCTCTCGTAAAAATAAGATATATTTTTTATATTAACATAGGTCGGAGTTTGCTTTGTTTCGTAGCTACAGGGGGTTAAAATCTTCATCTTTTTCCGATTTATTATAATTTTCTCCCAAGTGCTTTTAGTTTAGCGAAATTTTGAGGTTAAAAGTTACTATCAGTGCGAAATATTTTAATGCTAAAAAAGTCTCGACATATTCATCAGGGATGTGCATATGGGATATGATGTAATATTTTTCTAAAAAAATATCTGTGCCACCTACTTTTTTTCTTTTGTTCGAAAAAATGTGTAGGCCGTTAAATACTAATTAAAAGTTGTCTCTTCATATTTTGTCGATTTCGGTCTCCTTGATGAGGTAAACGCAATTTAATTAATTTGCCATCTCCCAATTCTAATAGCAACCTTTAAAAATGTTAATGTCATTAACTGTCAAAATATTAAATAAGTACCTTATTGATTCCTCATCAAATATATAAAAAGTTCCTATAAACATGGGCGCAGAAATGCATAATTTGAAAGTTAAAGGATGTTAAAAGTTTTAAAAAATAAACCTTTTGTAATTATCTTAAATGCCATTATATTTTATGGGAATTTGTAGGTAGTACTATACATCAGTGTTATAAATTTTAGTAATCAATTACATTAAATAAATAATTTATTAATTTTATTTTTATTTTAATTTTGTTAATTGTGTTTAATAAAATTGCGTTTATCTCATCGAGGAGATCGAAATGGACAAAATATCAAGATACAACAATAATAATTTATATCTAATCGGCATTAGATTGCCTACACATTTTTGCTAATAAGGGGAAAAAAGTCGGTGGCACATATGTATTTTTAGAAAAATATTCCAATGATAACCCATATGCACGTCCCTGGTGAACCTGTCCACACTTTCCTGTCCACACTTTTTTTAGCATTAAAATATGTAGCATTAAAATATTTTTTGACATTTTGATATCAATATGAGTCCTAGTTATAGTGGGCACCACCTACATGTTTTTTGAAGAGTAACAACTACTCGTCCATACCTGTAAACTCTACTGAGTAAAAAACGTGCGTTTCGCTAACCATATTGGCATCATCAGCAGATGATTAAAACTGTGTCCTGTGTTTAAAAGTAAAATATTTTCCTCTATTTTGGTGAATTGGTGTTTTATTTTGAAGCAGTCATATTGACATCGTAATAAAATTTCTCATGTCAAAAAACATCCAAACACCAATTTTCATCCAAATATCGACGTTAGTTAAATTATTTGTAAAAATTTGAAATAAAAATAAAACCCCTACCTATTTGAATTTCCAAAAACGAAGCATTTTAGGACATAAATTCATACGAACATTTTAAATCATTTTTACCTGGCGAATATGATGGCGAAGTTTCCCGTATACACTTTGGACCACGCTGTATATCTTTGATAAAGATTTGATAATATAACGCATATTAAGGTAGGCAACATAAACCTGCAAAATATGGAATGTTCAGCCATCATTCAATGTCACGTAATATTGTCGAACTCTCTCAATCACTTGCCAACCAGATGAAAGAGATTGGTGACATCATTACGGCATTTCGTAAATTACTGCATATTCTCTTTAGTAATTGTCATTGTCATTTGATTTGTGGTTATAATTTTATTGACGGACATTCATCAACGTCAAAATTAAAATATGTTGCTGTAAAACAAAATTTAATCTTTTATTACAAAAATGCCTCAAAGATTTAATCAAAATGAACAAATAAATTGGAATTAAAAGGATCGTAACTGATGGAGAGTTAAAAAAATTAATAAATGCCGAAAAAATCGAAACTCACTCAATCAATAATATAACCGTACTTAAAATTTTCTAGACAATATGAACTGATCTTAGACACACCCTTAAACTCATATTTCACAAATAATAATGACACAACGGTGAATAATAGCTGAGCAGTCTTTTACAATTGTTATTTTACGTGCCCAGCATGATTATATCATACGTTGAAAATTAATAGTGAAAAGTTTTTATAATTTTTAAACAATTATACAGGAAAATGTTCATCATTTAACTTCAATCATTGTGCATCGCTCCTTATAAGCTAACATAATTATTTAATAGCAAAAATTTAATTACATGTACGCTACTGAAACAAATTATCAAGTCAATTAGTCAAGTTAGGTATTCTAGGCAAGTAGCAAAAGAATGCAGATTAAAAATAATTTTAATTAAAGGTGGCATATTTAAATAGCTGTTCACAAATACTTTACAATTGTTTTTCTCATTGTTTGAGGTTTAAATAGTTTTAACTATGTTAAACTTTTTTCGATTACTCGGAAATTATTAGATTCCTGAATTAAAAATAGTTTTCCTCTGCTCAATAAGGTCTTCTTGTTTATTATCTAGAAAAATGGTAATCAAATAATTTACTATTTCTTTCAATGAGAATATTAACCTGTTGATTTTTGATTTTTAACTTCAATCATTGTGCATCGCTCCTTATAAGCTAACATAATTATTTAATAGCAAAAATTTAATTACATGTACGCTACTGAAACAAATTATCAAGTCAATTAGTCAAGTTAGGTATTCTAGGCAAGTAGCAAAAGAATGCAGATTAAAAATAATTTTAATTAAAGGTGGCATATTTAAATAGCTGTTCACAAATACTTTACAATTGTTTTTCTCATTGTTTGAGGTTTAAATAGTTTTAACTATGTTAAACTTTTTTCGATTACTCGGAAATTATTAGATTCCTGAATTAAAAATAATTTTCCTCTGCTCAATAAGGTCTTCTTGTTTATTATCTAGAAAAATGGTAATCAAATAATTTACTATTTCTTTCAATGAGAATATTAACCTGTTGATTTTTAATTTTTCAGTTAACGTACCCAAGAAGACAGAACAACTAAGTGGATCGTACACGTACATGCCGTCACGACTGAGCGGAAGTCCTCCATTATGGATAACACACAGCCAGGGCAGATTTCAAAACGAAATCTATATCAATAATGCAAAATTGCTAATAGGGCAGTCAAACGTGATAGGAAAGAAAGGAGGGATGCAGCAGGTGAGAATAAAATTTAATATTAATTTTCTTAATGTTGATATTATTATTAGATAAACCAAAATCAGTGTGGTCTATTTAACTGGCGTAATTAACAGTACAACATAAAAAACAAAGAAATCTTATAATTTTGTAAAGATTTACATTATTTTATTTTTGTTAATTATTATGATAGAACACATTAATTAAATTACAAACGAAAAGAAAAAAGTAACTTCTCATATAAATAATATTTTTTGAAGTGAAATTTCGTTACGCGCGATGGGAATAAAAATTTAAGGCCGCGACACACGAGCTAGGGTGACGTGAAATGGTAACGATTTTGGAGCATCGTAACTCTGGTCTTATGTGAGCTAGGGGGCTAAATCTCGGAATGTAGATCTTTTCATGATATTTTGACGACGTTTCGTGCACTACGAAACCCCATCATCAATGATCAAATAAAAAAATCGTCCTATTTACATGAAATTTGGTATGCCGATAAATTGGACCAAGGCCAACTTTACCGTGTACGACACATGTCACCGTTACAGTTAGATTTGACGTAAGAAACATCAAAAGTTGATGTCGTCCGATCGCCACCAAATTTGGCGGGTAGGCTATGTGAGAGACGCGACGTCTACAGGATGACGCCCCCGACGTTTCGAACCGATGCCTTTAAATGGACGAAATTATCAGGATTTTTCTCTTAATTATGTGTCGATTGGAACTAAACTCGGCAAGTGGATAGAGGTACGCGAATGAAGTCCTCAGACGAACATTTTTTTTCTTTAGGTATAAAATACCTTTACGTACGGAGTGTGGGACTCAATCTCTCCTTAAGCTGACGGGAGGACACTACCCACTAAACATCACCCTCTCGGTCCTGCCACGTCTACCTGGACTCGCTGGACGCATCTCCTCGAGTAGACGCCGGACTGTTCTTTTTGTTTGATTATCCCTGCTTTTTGCTGTATTTTGCCTCTAGTATATTTTAGGCCAGTTTTGAGATTGCTTCAAAATTTTCTCTTCTTTCTGTTACCGATTTTAAGAAGGTGTCTGCGGAGATGTTGCCACCAATCGTCATGCGTGCCTCACATCTTTCCTTGTCTCATCTTGGACAGGCAAACATTGTGTGTTCTGGAGTATCATTGGGTTCAGCACAGTATCGGCATGCCGCGGCTTCCCTCTTTTCAATTTTACACAGGTAACTCCCAAAATTTCCGTGACCACTCAATATAGAAGACCACTAAAATAGAAGTTTACCTCTCCATGCTTTCTTTTAATCCACATATTTATATTTGGGATGAGCTTATATATCCATCTTCCTGAGCGGTCTTCCATCTCTCGGCTTGCCCTGGTTTGTAGTTCACCCTTGAGAAAGAGTCGTCCTCTTTCTCTTGAGAGAAGATGCAGCGGCACTAGACCCGATATCACCAAGCCTGCTTCAGTTGAAGTTGTCCGATACGCTGAGCAGACCCTCAAGCCATGATTCTCTGTGCACCCTCAAGTCTTTTTTTATTTACGTGCATATTGATTGCTTCATTCCACACAGGTACTCCATACATAATAATATTCTGGCACGCATATGCCAACACTCTTCTCATTACTGGTGTTGGGCCTCGAACGTTTGGCAGAATCGCGGACAATGCTTTAGCAGTTCGTTGTGATTTTAAACACACCTCATCGTGAGTGCACGGTCTATGTGGAATCCAAAATAGTTCACTTGCTTTACTGGATTTATTATTATATCCTTAAAATTAAACTTTATATGGTCAACTTTTCTCTTGCGGCTCAGTAAAATCGCCTCTGTTTTTTTCCACAGAGCGATCATAATGACAATGTATCTCGTGCACTATGAAATCCCATCATCGATGGCGAAATTTTTTTCCGATTTAAATGAAATTTGGTATGTCGATAGACTGGACCAAGGCCAACTTTACCATGTATGACACGTGTCACTGTGACAGTTAGTTTTGACGTAAGAAACGTCAAAATTTGATTGGGAACGGGCTCCAGGATGAGCCGTCGACGTTTCGAACCGATACCTTTAAATAGACAAAATAATCGGGCAGACGGAAACAGACAGACGCAAGTCAGAAAAAGTTTCACTTCAAATATGCTCACATAGTGCAGACACAATTTTTTTAATTAAATTATAACAAAAAAAACTATTCAGTTTTACGCAAATACGGTAATACTATCAATACTACTACTACTAAAATATTATGTCCGTCACACATTTTTGTTACAGTCTGTATAACTCTGATATAATTTTTTAATTTTCTAGAGAAACTAAATTTTGAAAAAAAATAAAATAATGAACTCTGTCATTGACTCACACAGTACTAATTTTCAAAAAGTTGCGTAAAAAATATGCGATAATATATATTTTTTGAATTGAACTGCGTGAGAGAGTGAATATAACAGAAGGAATTTTCGATATATTGAAAATGCGCATAGTGAAATTTGTTCTACATTTTCTTATACATATTTATTATAATGAAGTGCAAACGAAACTATTAATTAATTCTCATACACAATTAACGTGCTGTTAAATATCAGCTTGTTTACACAGTTCTAATTTTCAACCGTTATTGTGGAATTCAAACGTTACTTTCTCTCTTACCTTTCTATATACGAACTATTAATATAGCCACACTTTACTAATTCACCCTTCATCCACCGAAGTTTGCTTTTAATCAAATTATTTCGTAATATAAAATAAACACAATTAACGTTATGAGTTTGTTTAAGCCGAGTGCACCGCCTCGATCCTCCTCGACAACACTTCGGTTTATGCGCGTATTTTAATAAAAATTCTAATGCAGATCCTCGTTTCCATTTTGCAGATCATGCATAAAATTGACGAAGTGCTGATTCCGACGAGGTCTTCTTTAGCAGCCAGCAATTCGATCTATAATCCGAGCGCGTGGGAGTTTTTGGAAAATTACGAATCTCTTATTCAAGGCTCGCACAGATTAAGGTAAGTAAACTAGAAGAAATAGATGGTGGTTTGAGATTATGAAATTTTATTAAGGTTTATAAAGAAGCGCTATAACTTTATTTATTTTCTTTTTAATGCGACTTTTTTAAAATCTTAGAATTCCAGTAATAAAATTATATTTAGAAATTCTTCAGATTCTGAATAGTAGGGTTTCCGGAACCGGGAATTTCGGTACCGCACCTTTTAAGAACCGGGATTTCCCGTTTTTTCGGTACTTTCGGTACTGACTAATTTTTGTTCAATGGTAGTGCAGTTCATCAGTCAGAAAGCAAGAGATGGGTTTTCCAAGTAAAATGAATAAAAAATTGAGATTTTTAATGAAAATAATAGCAAATTATTAAGTAATCAGTCATGAAAAAATTAACATAAACACAAGTAAAGAAAAAAGTATAGGTAACTTAAATGTCGCATCAAAGAACATAAACCAAATTAAATGAATTTGATACAAAAGCCCGAAAATATTGAATTAAAAATGCAAATATCTATTAAAACATAAAATAATTAATATTATAGGAACTTAAAAAGAGAAAAGAAGCAAGAACAATAAGAAATAGCATCATCAGAAGAGTTTGATTTCGACCGCTAGAAAGTATCAAAGGACTTCATTTCTCACGTAACAAAAAATATTTTTTTTAATTATTGTTACCGAGGCCCGGTTCTGTGATGGCCATAAAGATGTGAATCCTAATTGGTAGTATTAATTAGAGTTTCCGGAACTGTACTAAAATATTTTCGTTCAATGATTGTGGAGTTCGCCAATTAGCAAGCAAGGGATGGTTCTCAAAAGTAAAACCGATAAAAAATTGAGTTTCGAATGAAAATAATATTAAATTATTAAGTCATTAGAAAGTAAACATGAACAGAAATAATGAACACAAGCGAAAAAAAAAAGAAAACACATAGGTAGCTTAAAAATTACATCAAACAACATCAACCAACCTCGAAACCAACTTAACTAAATTTGAAAAAAAACTTTGGTAATATTATACTAAATAATAAAATAACCTATTTAAACTTCAATAATACTTGCTAGTAAACATTATGGAAACTTCAAAATGACTTTAGAAGTAAGAACAGTAAGAGATAGCATCACTACTTATTTTTTAGAAGAGTTTGATTTCGACCGCTAGAATGTATCAAAAGTCTTTCGCACGTAACAAAAAATATGATTTAATTATTATTGCCGAGTCCCGAAAGTACCGAAAGAACCGGGAATTAACAATTTCGAGTCCCGGTTCTGAACCCTAGTGAATACCATGCAACCTTTTTAATCGGGACACACGTTAATCGAAATAATCTCCATAATCAAAACGTTCATCTAAAAACTTATCAGTTACGTAGCACGGTGTCTCCTTGCTCTGTCTTTCGCGTTCCTGCCTCTTTGAGTAAACCAAACCAAACACGTTTGCATTTAAATGTACTTGTAGAATGTTTAGGAGGGGAGTTAGTCACCGCGACCTTACAGATCTATTGTGTGTTCCCCTTTCTTGAGTTATAACGAGTTATAACTCATCATACAGTCTCAAGGCTTTAACAAAAGCCAGTATCTGAGACGGCTCCACAGAGGCTAGCTCTCCATTCTTGACATAAGCCGTACCAAAGTTCATGGCACGAATGGTCGTCGTCTCGGCGCACTCCGTGATGAGGTGTTCTGGTGTTTCCCCATATTCCCCACAGAATCTGCATTCGCCGTTGTTTCTCAGCTTCAGCCTACTGAGGTATTCGTTGAGGAGACAGTGTCCTGTTAGAAACCCCGTGACAATCCGAAGATTGTTTTTACTTAAATCAAGGAAAACCTTTGATTTTTCTGGGTCGTAGGTTCTGAGGAACTTTTTCGAGTGTCTTAGACCGTTGGAGGACACCCATTCCAAGTTGCGGTTGGAGTCTTCCAGATTCTTCAATTCCGCTTTCAGTTGGTTTCCGCTTGGAAAACAGAACGGTTCTAGTCCAGTTAGTGGAGTGTTCGCTCCTTTCCTAGCTAGATCATTTGCTATTTCATTGCCTTCTATCCCTTCGTGAGCAGGCACCCAGAATAGGAGGACTTTATTTTCTTTGCCCAACTTGTTGAGCTTCTCAAGGCATTCTTTGACCAACTTCGAATTGATGGTTACTGAGTTGATCGCATTTAGTGCTGCATGACTATCGGATAGGATGGCAATTTCCTATCTAAGATAGGATCCGAATTTCCTATCTAAGATAATATGTACACATCTTTCGATAGCGTAGATTTCTGCCTGAAGGATACTGAGGTAGGTGCCCATTGGTTCGGAGTATTTGGTTTTCGGTCCAAATACTCCTATCCCTGTCCCTGCTTTGGTTTTGGAAGCATCAGTATACCACATTATGGTATGGTCTTTTATACGCTGAGCAAGTGTTTCTTTCTTCCAATCCTTTTTATTACTCAATACTACAGTGAGGTGTTTCTCAAAGTTGTAAATTCTTGGTATGTCATCCACTGGGAGTTGGAGAAGTGGAATTTTCTTTTTGAGGGTGTTCCAAACCCCTGACCTAAAAATTCTCCCAGTACTGTTTCCGTCAATGACCATTCTAATCATTGTCGCATTGGCATAACTACCGACGACAATGTGCAGTGGTGTTAGATCTAAAATGACCTCCATTGCTGCTGTTGGACATGTTCTCATGGCATCTTTGATTTAGATACATGCCAGTCTCTGTACTTTGCACAGGTTTTGCCTTACTGTAGGTTGCTCTAGTTTTGTATACCAAGCAACTGCTCCATATGTAATCATGGGTCTTACTACCATGGTATACATCCAGCGCAAAATTTTAGGGGCGCAGCCCCACCTATTTCCCACCAGTCTTCTGCATATCATGAGAGCCTTTGTGGCTTTGCTGGTAATGTTCTTTGAATGTACTTGGTACAGGGTGTTTCAAAAAACATGTGCCGTCTCTCGTGGGGAGATTTCGCACGTAAAAATAAGATTGATTTTTTTATATTAAGATAAGTCCGATTCTGCTTTGTTTCGTAGCTACAGGAGGTCTTAATCTTTTTAAGTCTTCATCTTTTTCAGATTTATTATGATTTTCTTCCAAGTGCTTTTTGCGATTCGATTGAAATTTTGAGGGTAAAGATTACTATGAGTGCGACATATTTTAATGCTGAAAAAGTGTCGACATATTCACCAGGGATGCACCAGGGATACAAATGTATCTTTTTGTTTTGTTAGCAAAATTGTGTAGACCGTTAAAAGCTGATTAAAAGTTGTCTCTTGATATTTTATCGATTTCGGCATCCTTGATGAGATAAACGCAATTAAATATTAATTTGCTTTAATGCCATTATTCTAATAGCAACATTACAGTTGGGGGTTGGAACCTGGGTCGGAAACAGCAAAATAAAACACTAAATCACCACAATACTAAAAATCACCACAAAACTAAGTTTTCATCATGTAAAAGTAAAAGTGTTTTGGTGTATTGTGGTGATTTAGTATTTTATTTTGCTGTTTAACACCAAAGGTTCCAACCTCCAACTGTAATTAAAATATGTAGCACTCATAGTAACTTTTAACCTCCAAATATCGTTGGAAACACTAAAAGCACTTGGAAGAAAATTATAATAAATCGAAAAAAAAATGAAGACTTTAACCTCCTGTACGAAACAAAGCATAACGTCTGTGAAACGTGATAACCTGCTGACTCCATTTTTGATTTTAAGTAAATAATACCTTTAATACATAATTTTTACGTAATTTTTTTAACGAAATATTTGTTCCCCAACAAAGACTTTTGTTACCTCTATATCATATTAACACATGAATATATTTGCTACATGTTTACATATTTTTTTGTACCGTTTCTTTTCTCTCCTCTAAAATTATGAAAAATGAAGTTAGCAGTTTATCACATTTCACCGACAATAATAGGAACCCATGTTGATATGAAAAATAGGTCTTATATTTACGTGAAGAATCTTCGTGAAGAGATCTCTTACGAGAGATCGCACATGTTTTTTGAAACGCCCTGTATAAATCAGTTCACTTCTGATCTTTAACATCTACCTCTGATGATCGTCAGTTTCGTGAATCAGTACCTTCATTAGAAATCGAAGATAATGTTCAAATGAAAACAGAATAAGTTTAAAACAAACATAAAAAGCGAGGTAATTTCAAAAACTTCGTAAAATTGAGATTTTCTTGCATTCCAAGGGTGGCATCAAAGATTTAAAAAACGGTTTAATAAATAATATCTAATCCTTTGTGGTGGGTTTATTACTAAATTCTTTCAAGAAATAATCCGCGGTTCAATATTTGTTTGTTGACTGGCGAATCATTAAACATGATGAACTAATAAAAAAAACAACGTTTTATTGTAAAAAAAACAAAACAGCTTCATCGACAAAGCATTCACAAAACAAAAAAGCACAAAAACAAATATACAAATAATAAAAAAAATGTCATACAATACAAATCAATTCAAAAAAAAATTACGTCATAAAATTACAAATAAAACACATATGGACATAGCAGAACACAGGCGTATCTAGAAAATTTTACAAAAGGAAAACTGTAAATGGATAAAATCATGTTATATATCATAAAATCAAGAGTTATAAAATATTAAATATTAAATACTAGACCTTTAACCAGTGTGTGATGATGATCAAAATTTTAAAATTCAAAATTGTTCATGATTAAACATCAACAAAAAAGTCGTTTACCGCATATAGGGCTCTCTCCAGTAAGTATGATTTCAGAGCTTTGCGAAATGCGGGAAGGAATGAAAATGACTTGATATTCGAAGGCAAATGATTGTACATTGTCTTGGCATTGTACAGTATTGAGCATTGAGCATTAAGTATTGAGTATTAATATCAGCCTTAAATATCTTGGGCATCGCTGAATATGACCACAGAGTATGATATCATTTTATATTTTACTAACCTCTTTTAGTAAAATAATATGATGCTCTGCGGTCATATTCAGTGATGCCCAAGCTATACAGGTATTCAAGGCTGA